CATCTCTATATATAACATATCTCTTAACGATGATACACGGGATGAATAACTCATAACTCGAACACATATTCTCATCTAGAGAAAGAATTGTGTACTTTACTAATTTGAATTTATAAATTAACATGTTAATATTAAATAATAGATTTTGACCAACAACACAGTATTAAAGCTAAAGGTGTGTAATGGTGTTCAAAATTATACTTATTACTCCATTTCTATTAATTAATATTAACCCAAGGTTGAATGCATAAATGAACACATCCTGTCTTAACAAATTTTCACATGAAGAAGAAAGTTAAAATATGAATTAATTGATTATATGTTATAAGTTTACCAAAACCTAATTGGGAAATATGAAAGTGTCATTTTTCTATATATATATATACATATATATATATATATATATATATCAATTTGGTTACTTGATTAACCTAATTTAGTATGTTTATGTTAAGTTTCTCACTTGTGTGCAAGATCTGACATTCACGAGCTCCCTTAATTTATTGCAATAGACATTAATATAAAATGTTAATTAATTAAATGTTGATGGTCTTAATTAATTAATTAGTCAAATATATGTGGAGAGATGCTACTAATCTTAATTACTTGAATAATTGGGTGGGTTTATTCTTCTGTCTAATCCCCACCCCTTTATATCTTATTTAATCTTTGTAATTATATAAATAATTAAAAAATGTGTACTGTTTTTCTCTGTCCCAGTAGCAGTTACCAATGTAATTATAGAATTGTGACTTAAAATCTTGGAAACAATATTTTTGGTCCATAAAAATTAAATAAATTGAGAACCCAATTATTATATATATGCACACATACACATATAAATATATATATATATATATATAGACCCAGTTTGTAGTTACTATATCATCTCATTTCAGTTGGTATATTTTTTTAATTTATTTAATATTCTATTTGTTTATACAAGATAATTTCTATTCAAACATCTTGCAAGTAATAACATGCAAGATGTTTAATAATGACCAAACAAATAATTGCAATTAATAATCTTTAATGTATCTAATTTTTACTTATAATGTTTAATTATAACAATAGATTCATATTTTGATATCATATTATTAAATTACTATTTTGATATATCTATACATACAAGGTAATAGATTTCATTTCTGGAAAGTAATTTCAATTTAACGATTATTGAAATATATACAAAACTTGGGAATATTTAAAATTGTATATATATATATATATATTTTTTTTTTCATATTTGACATTTATTAAGATGCTTCTTTTTTTTTTTATAAAAAAGAAATATACCTGTATAAAATTAAAGACTATTTATATTATTATATAAAATTATATATATATGTGTAATCCATATATGTAGCATCCGCAAACAACTAGTATGTATGTATACATGCAAGGATAATTGAGTGCATAAATTAATAATAATAATAATATAAATATACATTTGGTCATTTCTTTTTCTTAATGTTAGTGTAGCAATTCCAGGAAGATGGGAAAAACCCATTTTGCCACGTGTCAAGATCTAAGATAAGCAAGGGTGAAAAAGGAGTGATAATATTTAGTTTAAATACACATCCAACCCCAAACTCAAAAGACTCTTCCCCTCATCATCTCTTCCATTTTTCTCTTTGTTTACCTCAAACTCTAAAGACGACAGTCAGTTCACCATAGCCATAAACCTCTCAAACAAACCCAAAAAAAACAAAACACAGAAAAAGAGAAAGAAAGAAAGAAAGAATAGGTTGAAGAAGATCATGGCATTTGAAGAGACAGAGCTGAGACTTGGTCTGCCAGGGAATACAGTAGCAGTTGCTGCTGGTGGTGACCAGAACATTAATGGCGGAATAGAAGGAAGTGGAAGGAAGAGAGGATACTCGGAGACATTACAGGTGGATTTGAAGCTCAATCTTTCTTCCAAGGAAATATCTCAAAAAGACAAAACTCTTCCGCCATCTTCAACTACTGATCCACTACCTAAGCCTCCTCCTAAGTACGTTAATGAACACTACTTCTTTAACTTTTTTTTTCCTCTAATTTTTTTCTTTTTGACAAACATTATAAAAAAGAAAAACTGGGTTTTGTTTCTCTCTACTTCTGGACTTCTGGGTAGTTTTTGCATATGTAATTATTATGGTGATTAATTAGAGTTTGGTATAATTACATGGAGGCATATATATTTTTACATGTGACTCAGAAAGGCATGCAGCTGGTTCTAAATTCTACTGGTCATTTAGAGATGAAGCCAAACGATTAGATCTTGAGTTCGTGCATGGAGATTAGTATACAAACAAATATTTATAGTTACAGCATATTGATAATAATTACTTATATGCTGTCTGCAAATAAGTGGGTTGAAATTACAAATAAATAGTAAACTAATTATTTATAACGCAAATATATATAATGGAGATGGAAGTTGTGGTGAAGGTAAATTTTGAAAGTGGTACACATGGGTTGTGGGGAAGGTGGGTGTTCGTAGGGGACAAGCCCATGCCATCAAGTGTTAATTACTCATGCATCGCCATATTCAGCATACAAATATAATATAATATTATATACATACATATATATATATGTACAGTCTCTTACGTAAGGCTATCTGTGCCTCATATTTCAAACTTTTCACCTGTAGCTACTCACCACTACCCATGGATTTACTAATTATATATATTCTCAAACTAGGTAAACAGTGATACATATAACTTGAAATAATTTCTCGATCTATTTAATTAGATTTTACTTGTATAAAATTAATCAAGTTTTATAACAAGTGTTCTATCAACATATATAGATTACAAGGGAATTAGTTTTAATCTAAAGGATTCAAATCTAATAATTTAATTCATTAAAATTATCCCTATAATTCTAATATTAACCCAAAAAAACCTACTTAATACAAATTTAATTGAACTTGTTAATTTATAATTAACTCGATATTTTTTAGGGCACAAATTGTCGGTTGGCCGCCAGTTCGATCGTTCAGAAAGAACATGTTGGCGGTGCAGAAGCCGAGTTCGGAGGAGGTGAACGAGAAGATCTGCGGTGGGTTAGTGAAGGTGAGCATGGACGGAGCACCTTACCTCCGGAAAGTGGACCTCAGGATGTACCAAACTTACCAGCAACTCTCTGATGCTCTTGCCAAAATGTTTAGCTCCTTCACCACTATTGGTATATATAATATACACATAGATCTTTTAAATCTGAATATATTAGTTAAGATATATAATAATATTAATATGTAATTAAATTGTTGAACACTGGATGAATAAAGGAAACTGTGGATCCCAAGGACTGAAAGATTTCATGAACGAGAGCAAACTTATGGATCTGTTGAATGGATCTGACTATGTTCCTACTTATGAAGACAAGGATGGTGACTGGATGCTTGTTGGAGATGTTCCATGGGAGTGAGTTTCCATATCTCTTCATCAATTCTTGATATACATTCACATACATATATATATATATATATATATATATAAATCATGGAAATTTTCATCATCAAGTATACGTATATATAGTGTAGCATACTAATCAATAATATTTTGTTTTGTTGTAATCAGGATGTTTGTTGAATCATGCAAACGCCTGCGCGTCATGAAAGGCACTGACGCCATTGGACTTGGTTAGTATTCGTTTATCTTCACTTTTTCAACTTCTCCTTATACCTGCTTGTGTGTGTGTGTATGACTATATATATTAATAAATTTAATTTTAATAAACCCGATAAATGATAAATCTCATATATAGAAATTTTATCTATTATCGAGAAAGATATAAATGACGAAACTCATCTATATGAATTATAACTATCATTTAAGACGATGATAAGTAAGGATTCGTGTCTGTATTTTTAATATAATTCGCCTATTTAAATGCTGGTCAGTTAGCTAAAAAAATTAAGATCAGAAAATCATATCAATATCTCACTTCTCTTCTTCTTCCCTCTAAGTTTGTTCTTACTTTTCTTTTCTCCGAGTTCTAACATTATGTATGTTTCAGCTCCACGAGCGGTGGAGAAATGCAAGAAGAGAAGCTAAATGGGAGAGACGAACGTGTGGTAGCATGCAGCAATTAGCAGCCTGCTCCTTCGATCATGGTGCCTTTCCAGACTCTACATGAACTAGGGCTAAAATGGCACAGATGGATTGAGCAGGATGTTACAGTATGCATATATATTCTGTTTGATGTATCAATGTGGTCTCACATATAAACATATGCGTTAAAACTCTTTTCTAGTTTTTAAGTATTTATTACTACGAACAGGAGAGTGCAGTAATAAACTAAGTTTAAAGATTTGGGTATGTGACTATACATATCTATATTCATATATATATATATATATATGTCTTTTATTTGCTTGTTTAGTGTTACAAGTCTTAATGTTTTAATTTGTCTAGTGATCATAACTATGTAATTGTTTGTATTAGTAATAATATCTTGTGTTTAATTGTTTGATTCTTTATTCACTATATGTATATATGTGTGTGTGTGTGTGTGTGTGTGTGTGTGTGTGTGTGTGTGGATATATATATATATAAAGTTATTAATTAATTTTTTTTTCTTGATGGGATGATGGCAATTATTTAATAAATGACAACATTTATGATTATTCTTTTCCTGTTTAATGTGGGGATAAGGATTGAATTAATTGTGAAATGCCCCATGATGAGTAGATATTGTTTGGAGGAGGGAGCAAGATCATGTGAAGGTTTGATGGAGCATTTACTGGGCGCCCATTTGTTTAGGTTTAGTTGATTTATATATATTGCTGTATGTATTCATGAAAAAGATTGCTGTCTCCGTATACATATATACCATATGTTATATAATATTCTACACAGCCGTAGTTTCAGGTTTGAAGTTGATTAGTATATAATCCTATATACCCACTGGAGTGATTAATTCAACCGAAGGAGAGAAATAAACTAATCATAATTTATGAAGTTATTTTAATAATCGTATTTTTTTAGTTGAAAAATCAATTTTAATATCATTTAATTCTGATCTTCAAGTTGTTTGAGATGTAAAAGATAATCATAATTTATATATTTAATATTAATTAAATTAACCTTTCCCTCGTATTGAAAGAGAATTATAGAAACACCTAATTGAATGAATATAAAATTGATTTAGAATTATAAACAATCAAATTTCTACAGTATTTTAACTGTACATATTTCCTTTCACATTCTACATAATTGAAAATTGAACCAAATTAAATACATATGTGCGGGTACATACATACACCTATTACTCAACCAGTATGTATATAATATGGCTCATTTAACAGATGTTTTATTCATTTATTAGCTCATTAAACTGACTGTAATTAAATTCAGTACCCAAAAACTTTCCCCTAATTAACCAATATATATATATATATATATATATAATATGGCAAGAGAATTTGGTTCTTTGAGTATAATTTTACATATTTTGATATATAGCTTATTATATACCCTAGAGGCAAGTGGGGCTTTACAACAATTAACCCTTGTATCTTATGTCTGACACCTGGTAAGGTTCATGCATTTCTATTCATGGCAATTGTCCTTGCTTTTAGCAACTAGTTATAAATAACCTACTTCTAAGACACAGAATAGAATCCTAAAGCTACATAAATATATGTATAATCAAGATATACATACATACATACATATACAGTCAAAAGATAATACTACAGATTTTAATTGTATTCTGTTTACATCTTTTAATTGTATGTTCCTTCCTAACATTTTCTCTTTTTGCCGACTAACCTTTTGACCGTCACACAGGGTAAGATTCGAATACTCATTAAGAGATGAGCTTTCACCAAGCAATGTTATGATGTCAAATTTGGCATTGAAAAGGGATAAAGAAATTAGGTAACCATAACAATCAAGCTTCACGTGAGGGTCCTTTTATGGTTTGGTCCACAACTTCAATAATTTTATTTTGAAAGGAAAAGAAAAGGCAAAGTATAGAGACTAGTTTAACTGTACTAGTGAGATCTACTTTTGAGGATGCGAAGATTTAGCTTAAACTTTGGGATCTGCTTTATTAGCAACAGACAAACAATCCTCAAAGTCATATATTTAGCAACCTTCTAAGCCAAGTTATGAACACAATTTCCTAAACCAAACTTTAGCTTTGTTTTGCATGTGTCTGATCTTATTTGATTCATATTTCTGAACAATAATCCGGAAATTGTGACCTCTTAATTAGTAGTTTAGATGGAATCAGAACACTATCAAATTAGTAGCTGGATATTGCAGTTCTGATTATACGTACTAAAACAAAATATCACGATCGAAGACACGAAAATCATAAACAATGACCAAGACAATAATATAAATACCCTATTCTTTTTATTTCTGTTTGGTTTATAGAAAAAAAAAAATTTAGTTTTAACTTTTAAAATCTAGATATAGATAAACATATTCTTATTATTCATGAAAATACATGACGGAATGTGTCTGAAGTAATCAAAGTTTGTATACTGAAGGAAGCCTTAGTTTTACGATTAATGTTTCCTAATGCTATTTTGTATGGGGTATTCTATTTAAAGATTTGATTAATTCAAAATTGGTAACACTGTCCTTTTCAACTGAAACATTTGAAGCTGTCTTCTAATAAAAACTGGTACCTGACTTTTTGGATTATTCGTTATTTATTTCAACATGCATGCACTTTTTAATGAGAAAAAAGAAAACACTTATTGACAATTTCACTTGCTTATTGTCTTCTTTAATTGGTCGCCATCTACTTTATGCACACAACAGATCAGACGGACAATATTTTCTTTAATTACTGAGTTAGCAAGTGAAGTCACCTTGAAAAGTCAACTGATCGGATTATTAAATCTGCATTTTTCTTTGACTTCATTATTAGTTCCGCGTTAGGCCGGTCATTATACTCTATCTGCATGATGAATTCAATCACAATTTAAGTTAGAAAAACAACTAAAGTTGATGAGTAGAGATATCTTTACAGAGTGAGATTGAAGCTTACCCGACATTTAGCAACATCAGGTGGTTTCCCTGTAATTGAAGAAAAAACAAATCATTCCTTTTATTATCTGTTCCATGCAAGTAATTGAAGAACAGTCAAAGAGCTAGTACCTGTGGAAATATGTCTTCTTAAAACTCGTTGCATTGCCTCGTCAAGATCAAGCTCAATGAACCTTGAGGGGGCAGCAAAAACAAACAGTCATTCAAAAATTTGCCAGAGGCAATAATTCAATGGTTTTCCTTCATCCTCCATTTTTTCATATACATGAAGAGGAAACAATCAATCGGATTTCTAAAACCAAACAAATTATTTCTAGCAGGATCAAGAAAATAAATCTGAGTGAGTTTATTCTTCCCGGTCGAATGCTCATCTCATAATATCTTTGCATAACAAATTGTATAAATCATAGTAATTGGCACAAACAGGAAACTTCTGGTTCCATGAAAGTAATCAGTTATGCTCAAACAAAAGGCAGCTGGGGGTTGCAATGGACAGTAGTCCAGTTGGTACCATCCCCATACCCAGTGACTGATCTCGATAATTTCGATGAGTGTAAATGCCTGTGTTAAGAAATCTCATTTTCTTCCCTGGTAACAAAGCCACATACCTAATTTTTTGTCTATTCTTTCTATGGACCTAATTTTTATGGATTTAGTGATCAATTAAATTCTACCAAATACGTAAGTTTAACTTCTTAATGTCAGCAATAATAAAAACCCAGCCAATATTTATAAATTATAAATTGCAAAGGCTCCATAAATTATGCCCAAATAATATTGAACTAAGTGCGGAAGTATTTGTAAAAGAGAAAATGAAGTCAATCCTCACAGGGAAATGGAATTACATATCATCCACGAGAACAAAATTACCCATTACTAAAAATTGAGACACCAAAAATTATGAGATGAAACTATAGGGAAAACTTGGAGGATTTTCTCGTTAATTGTCTCAAGACAGGCAGTTTCTGGCCATGCTATTTAACCGTCAAATAAAATGACAAAGATAAATGTGCAGCATGAGCAATTGGACAGCGGAAGGTAATTTTAAGGATATAGTCCTCATGTAGATTTGCTACATCTAATGCCTGTCCCCATAAAAAAGAATAAAAGCTATGGAAAACTTCAGTATGCTATATATAAACATATACCATCATGATCATATACAAAAAAAAAAACCCTGCCTCCTTGAACCCTGTATTATTTTGTAAATAAATTAACTTGGAAAAAACATATATTCACAAAGGCAGAAAATGAAAAAAACTAGCATGATAGAACTTAATCCTTACCACTTCTCATCAAATATGCATGATACATCCTTCCAAAGCCCTTCTTCTAAAAACAGATAATTTCCTTCTACAATGACAACCTTATGCCTGCAAAGAGAGAGAAAAAATTTCAATTGATAAAAATCGTATGTAAAGGTTCACACTTCACAATGGATCAGCATCGGCTCATGGTTTCTCCATTCAAACAATCAAGAAGTTCCACATTAAAAAATTGAGGGAAAACCTTTTTTGTTTCTTTTTTTCTTTTTCTTTATACCATATTACTTTACCATGTATATGAAACTAAAAACTAATTGTCATAAGCAAAAAGTTTTTTAATCGACGGGAAGAAAAAATTTCAAATATCAAAATGTGAGTCAGACTAGAAATCTAGTTATGCCAAAATCACGAAAATTGCATGCGAACGTATAGTAGTAAAAAAAGTCTACACCAAGCAATTATCCAAAAGAAATAGAAAATGGCTTCATTTTACGTGGTAAGTAACAATTGTTGTATAGCTTAAAAGAACAATCATGTAATTTAAGGATATGAGTTGAATGCTAAGGACATTTATCTCAACATATGTATGACAGTAAACCAGTAAAGAAAACATCAAAAATTTGATAAGAACAAATAAAGTTATTTGATCTAATGAAAACCTTCTTATGATTCGTATTACATTGGTAAATATGTTTCACCACCAAGACAGCAGAATCCAATTCCAGACTCAATGACATCAGAACAGTTAGGCTTGTAAAAAAGAATTTTCTTTGGCTTGTCTTAAATCATTCTAATTCATGAATATTAATATAATATAACACAATAAATTAATTTCTGAAGCAACCCACAAAATACACGACCAGCTTTTTGGGTATCATATGGCATACTGTTAAAGCTTCAGTCACAACCACTAAGATAATATGGACTTCAAATTTAAAAAATAAAGGGGGCAGGAAGGAACTTAATACACCTTAACAACATCATTATCACATTGTTAATAGGACTATTAGCATGAGAGAATTTAATCACTTACTGAAGGCTCACAAATATATCATCTTCAACTGGATCCCCAACACCATGGTCAAATGATGGTGCATAAACTGACCCCTGAGTAATTTAACCCATAACATCATGTTATATTCACGTAAATGCTATGTTCCCTTTTTCCAAACAACAAACTAAATTTGTTACATTCACAACATGATTAACAACCAACCTCATTCCTCAACTTTGTCAAACAGTTTAACAGTAGCATGGGAGAAAATGTCCATGGAGCTGATTCATGAATGGAAGGATCAAGATTTGAAATTTAAAAGGAAAAGGATCCAGACTGCTGATAGTGAAAATTGAAAGTCTCACCTCCTCTTCTTGCATGGCCTTCTTCTGGATCCTAAAGAATGGAAACTAGTCAAGAGTCACAGATCCCAAATGCAAACATTTCAATAATAACAAATGATAAAGAAAACCACCTAGGAAAAAAACAGATAAAGAAGAGTAGGTCTGACCTCCATTTTATCTAGCTGAGCACGATATAAATGAAACCCATCCATGGAAAGCACAGTAGCAACATCTGGAGGCTCAACTTCAGAATCAAATGAACAAGCTTTCTGGGGCCATAACTTGTTAACACGTCGCACTACTTCAGAGGCTAAGGTAGTCTTTCCTGCACCAGGAGGGCCAGCTAAACCTACAATATACCTGCAAGATTTCTCGTGCGCAGAAAATAATTCAATGTGCTAAGTGAATTTACAGGATAGGGAATCTGAATGCATGAGAAACAGCATACTTTATAGTACAAAATACCAAAAACAATGACAAGCAGCTACATAAACACAAATTCTTGTCCGGTTCTTAGTTGCTTGGTTCCTAGGCTAGTACACATTGGAATTTTGGGACAGATAGGAACAGTAATTACATAAGATAATAAAAATGCAAATTTCATGCTCATACAGGTTCAATTGAACACATCAAGCACTATGATAGATGAAATTGCAGGTTAGGCAAATCAGAAGAAAGCATGAGAAACAGTATACATAAATGCCAATCCCACAAAAGTGATTAGCACAAATATGGATAGTTGGGGGCAGCACTTATATATTACTAATATAAAT